TGAATGAGCTAAGTATGTACCTAATTTTTGAAATAGTTTGTCAAATCGTACATTATTTTCTCAAAATTTGTGGTTCTTTTAGCTCCTAGAGATTTTGAGGTAGCTCTAGACATCCAGAGTTTCGCTCTCCTCCAATTCTCAAATGATTGGAAGATCCTTTAATTCTCTTTGAATGGTGAGTTTGTTTCTATTTGAGCAAATCTTTTCTTATTTCATATAAGTTTGAATTCTTAAAATATCAAATGAATTAAATATGCTATGTGGATGGATATTTACCATTCAAAGATAATTGGATGATTGTCCAATTATTTGAGAATTGGAGGGGAGCCTTATTAACCGGGGTTAAAGTGAGATCCTTTCCAATATATATTTTTTTCCATTCTCTTTTTGGCAGATCATCTACCATGCTTTTAAGTAACACTAATTCTATATGAAGGGGTCCTTCACTCATTAATAATGGATAATGCATCAAATTAAAAGAAAAAAATATTGAAGTAGATTGGAATCCGATCTTTAACCACATCATAAATGGGTCATGGGCAGTCCACATGAACCGTAACGGGTGCATACCGCAACCCGCCCCATGCCAAAGCCCTAATGGGCTTCATGGCTCATAAAGGTTGTTGGTTGAGTGTGTGACCGTCTGTTGAGTGAGAGGAGGTGGGGACACTAGGTTATCCAGAGAGAGAGGGCCATAGATGGATCATGGGTAAACCCATAAATAAGGGCAACAAAGGCATTGCTCATGGAGACACAGATAAAATTCCAACGTAGTTTAAGTGATAATAGAGACGAGTTGTAAATGTAGACGTTATGAATTCGAATTTTAATTATCTCTTAGGACCAGATAATGAGAGATTTATCTCTAATGAACATTCTAATCTCGACATGCTAAATGTGAATGACTTGTTTTTGACTGAACCAGAGAAAAAATTAATCAAAATATGAATAAATTGGCTCGAAGAACCCTGTTTAATGCTTTTCACCATCTTTTCTATGTGCCGGATATGATTTGTTCTATATGGGAATAAAAGGTATCTGCTTTCAACTTTACTATCAATCTTGTTTAAGCTATAACACTGTCTTCATTTCTGTTTAGTACCAATCCTTTTGTTTCTCTTTCGGACTTGGATGCTCTATGATACACTCAATAATAGATCACTTGCTGTAAATTCACTGAAATTCATAAAGTAATAGTGAGTAATTAAACATTAAGAGAAATCACGTAAAAAATATATTAGATAGAAGTTCAACAAGAATGGTTTTTGTTAAAAATAATATTACTTAGACTAAATTTATTGACCTTTTTTTTTAAATAACGCATGCGTCAATAAGAGAGAATTTTTTTTTTTTGGGAGGGGAGGGGAAAAAGGGGTTTGAGCTCTTGACCTCAATAAGACAAAATCTTCACAAGGTAAAGAATATCATTAGACCAAATACCCATTAAGTTATTGACTTAATCGCTTATAATTATTATATTGATAATGGGTCACAAAATTTATTAGAATCGGCAACCAATCCAATAATTATGATAAATTAGATCAAGTAGCATTATTGTTTTGCCAAATCTAGCTGTGGTTTAATTTGGTCCCTCTTTGGGCCATCCAGTATTCAAGTACGAGTAATGTTATTTAGATCTAAAAATTTGATCTTATTTGCTGAGTTAATGATATTAGTTCATTAGAACTATTAAATCAACACCAAGTTCCAATATTTGATGGGTCTCACAATTAATTCAGAGGCTATAGTGATTTAAGTCAGTATATAACGTCAAATTTTTAGGTCTAAATATCATTACTCTTCAGGTATATGTGTGTATTTAGAACTCTAATATTCTTATAATATAAATATGAGTAATGCTATAAGGGCTTAATTTGGGGACCTAATTCAATACAATCATTGAATGAATTGTGAGTTTCAATGTTAGGTAGAATCCACCTCCAATCCAATAGTTGTATTGAATTAGGTACAAATAACATTTTTCTATAAATATAATGATAATAACTCTATACTTCAAGACAGTTTGCAATATCAAAAATTACCATTAATCGTGCAATACTGATATTTTAAATAGTAATTTATTTTTTCTTTAATTATGTAATTTAAAATTAAAGTGAACACAAATAAAATAAGAGCGTGTGTGAATTAATGGTGTTGGTTGACATTGAAAAATGTGTTAATTAAATTGTCTGAATTGAGAGCCGTGCAGAGAATGAGTTTTTGAGCTGGAAAAAAAAATTGGGATAAAATTAGATCGGTCTTAACCATTGTTATTCTTTTATAAATTAAAAATTCAACTTTTTAGCTGTAATATTAGATAGATTGTCAACTAGAAAGCTTGGATTTAAAAAAAAAATGCAGTTGTGTTTTCTTTTTCAATGATTTCCATATCTAGATCACTTAAAAAAAAAATTCCTACCCTTTATAGGTATATTTTGAAAGAGATAAAATACTTGTATGTGGCTTTACAAAATCAAATTAAACATAAAAAAAAAAATTAGGCAAGTGAGTCTACATCTTGAGTTCTTGACACAAAGACCAAGAGATAAAGATTTCCAATTTTAATGTCATGTTATTTTTCATAGGATTAATCTGATATCGAAATTTCTAGTTAAGATTGTTGATGACTTCCGATAATCTATTTGTTTAAATAGAAAAACTTGATCTAAAAGTCTAGTTATTTTCGGGACGAGAAATGCTAGTTGGACAAAAAAATATTAATAACTTTTATCGATTCCTTCTATCACAATCATTGAATAAGTAGTAGGTTCCAATAAATTTTAAAATTTATAGTTAAATTAATGACAATGATGTTAAAGATCATCAAATGTTATTAATATTTTTTATTCAAATAACATTGATCGGGATTTCGAGACTTCTAGTCTCTGCTCTGAATGTTTGTATAAAATTGTTGATATTTTTTTGTCTTAAGTTAAAGACATTCTTACCCTTTCAGAATGTAAAAGCCAAAACTGACTTTACAACTATCCTTGCTTACTGTTCAGGAGATCCAACCCCGTCACCGACCATTGAAAACACTACCAATGTCTCGGAAAATAGAATTTGATGTAATTATGATTGATGGGTTTAGATTTAAAGTCACTCATTATGAAATTACTCCAATTATACAAGTAGGGTTTCATCATAATAAGCATGATGATTGGTTACTGTCTAATGAACTACTGGGTATTGATAATCGTGTGTTACAATATAAATGTCTTTTTTTTTTTACATTCGAAAATCATTTTAACCACGTTTTTTTTTTTAAACTTTGAACTACAATATAAGAGAATATCTAATTTTACTCAAATTTAAATTTAAGTCAAAATGTCCCAAAAAATTCTCCAACCTTAAACTCAAACTTATACCAAATCAAGACAAAACTTATTTTTGACCTAAATTGAAGTAGATTTTAAATTTTATACTAAATTTATAACGGTAACTTTTGAATTTATCCAAAACTAAAAAACTTCTTTAATGACATGCTCTCTGCCTCTTCTTGCCTCTCTCTATTATTTTGTTTCTATTGTCGCCCACCGCAGAAACTTTCACAAATCATTTGAAGACCTGTAGATAAGTTTTTTCCTTTTTATCTTTTATCTTCTTGATTTCTTATATTTTTCAAAACCTTAATCTGACTCATCTTTAGTACTATATAAACTCTAAACTTAATCACCAAATTTTTCTTTGATTTCTTCGAGTTGAATATTAACGGTAACATAATTTCAAACTTTCGATTTTTCTTGAAATTTTAAGCCTTTGATTCTCACAAATTTAAACAATTTGTCATTTTATTTCTTCAATCTTTTATTTTTTTCAAAAACGTATGTTTTTGTGTTCTTCAGATCAGACTCGTGTCAAAGTAGTTATATTTTTTTTATTTTTCTCTTTCTTTATCTAGATTTACAAAAAATTATAAGAGATTAGAACAAACTTAGAATTCTGTAGTGACTTCTTTATTCCCATGTAGCTTTATATACGTATTCATTTTTTTTTTGAATTATCCATTTTGGAGAGATGAAAGTTTAATTAATTTTATCAAATTATCATGATTTGAATGACCAAAAAAAAAAAAGTTTTGGGACAATAAATGATTTTTTTAACAAAAATTGAATAGATATTTGAGTTTGCTCATTAGAGTATTCTATACTAAATCAAGTTTTTTACTCAAATTTAAACTTATATTTGAGTCTAAATTTGAATCATTATTAAAAATACTTTATGTTTTGAATATACACAATCACTTGTAAATCACGCGCATGACACAAATAACATAAGATTTATTAGTAGACTAAAACTTGAGACATCGAATGGTAATCATTGAGGCATTCCCATTCGAGTTACCTTCGCAAGTTAGAAAAACTAACAAATTAAAATGTAATACTTTGGATAAATTTAGGATTTTGTGAAGGGGCACCTACCATTGGCTTCAGTTCAATGGAGGGTATTGGTTAGAAAAGTAAGTGTGAGTTGTTAAGAGACAAATGCACACGTTAAAAGCTTACACTAAAATTCCTTTTCTTCCCCCAAAGAAAAACAGGGAAAAGGAAAGAGTAAAAAGCAATCAAAGTCTCAACTTATTTACTTTTCTTTCTCATCTTTTTCTCCCTTACTCATCCTACCCCCACGTCCACAAAAAGAAACATCTCTCTCTCTCTCACTATTGCTCCTCAAGTGTCATTTTCTCACATATACTTAACACAAAGGATACAACCATTCACTTCATACCCTGTCATATCTCCCTCACTCTCTCTCCTCTCAATCTCAAATCTCTGCAACTACTCCCTTAATTGATCATCAAATTCAAACCCCATCTGAAGGAACACCCAGAAATCTCTAACCCCAATTCAAAACTTCGATCATCAAAATTCCATAAAAAGCCTCTATCTTCCTTGATAACCCTACTACCACTGTACAAACAACAACAAGAAGAGCCATAACAAGAGCAAGAACTAGGAAGAAGAGGTAGAAGAAGAGGAGAGAGAAGAGTATAGTAAGGAGATGGAACTTTTTCCAGCACAACCAGACTTATCCCTACAAATCAGCCCTCCAAATAGCAAACCCACATCAAGTTGGAGGAGGACAGAAGATGAGATGGATTTGGGTTTCTGGAAGAGAGCTTTGGACTCCAGAAACTCCTCCTTCTCTTCAATGGCGACCAAACCAGACAACTTTTTCGAGCTCTCCTTGGCGAATCCAAGGGTTTCTGAGCCCTACTCCAACCATTTTCAGTTCCACCAGAACAGTAACACCAATCTCATCCACTCCTTTCAACAAAATCAGTACCCAAATCATCACCATCTACAACTGCAACACCAAATATTTCAGCAACAACACCATGGAATGAGCCCAGAGCTTGGTTTTCTGAGACCCATTAGTGGAATTCCAGTATATCAAAACCCTCCTTTCCCATTTTCTCAACAGGGTCTAGATACTTCTGTATCTTCTACAACTACTTCTAGTGCCATTACTTCAAGTTCCTTTCAGTCTCAAGGGCTAATGCGATCGAAGTTTTTGTCGAGATTTCCAGCCAAACGTAGCATGAGAGCGCCTCGGATGCGGTGGACTACTACCCTTCATTCTCGTTTTGTTCATGCTGTTGAGCTTTTGGGTGGCCATGAAAGTAGGCTTCATTTTCCTATCCGTTTTGTATATCCCCCTCCCCCTTTTCATATATCTGTATGAGCCTGTTTGATTGTGTGTGTGAGAGAGAGAAGATGGAGAGGGAGAGAGAGAGTGCGTGTATGTGTTCTTGTATATCATTACTCTATCTGTGTCATCTTCCTCAGGAAAATATATAAAAGATAAGAATTGATAAAAAACCACTTATCCAATTCTTGGTTTTTCATGTTTGTTTGTAGGAGCTACACCAAAGTCAGTTCTTGAGCTCATGGATGTGAAAGATCTCACCTTGGCACATGTTAAATCCCATTTACAGGTAAATGAAGCACTCATCCCTTTGCATTATCCTCGTCTAAAGCTACTTTTTAAGGTTTTTTTTTACTTCTTCTTAAATCAAAGTAACCTTAAAAAACTTTTGTTCTGTATTTTGTTATATGACTAGTACAACAATACATGAGCTTTTGAAGCAGTTTGAATGGTATTTTTTTTGCAAGGCTGAATTTGCAATAGTACAGCCTACATTGCAGGAAGGTGTTAATACATACGTTCCAAATTCCAATGTTTCCCTGCATAGAGGTCTCTCAAATCTTTAACACTTGGTGTGAGCAGCAATATTGCACTTCTTTTTCTACTAGATCTGATGGCCCTGCAAGCTCTTAATCAGCTTTATGCTTGGAAGAATGAACCACCCAAGTAAAGAAAAAGGTCAATAACAGGAGAGAGAGAGAGGTTCATCAATATAATCAGAGAAAAGAGTAAGACAAAGCCCAAGGAAAAGCCAAGCCGAGACAAGTTTAAACACAATCCACCTATTTTTTCAATGACAACAAAATTTCTTCTCTTACAGTGGGCAACTGGAAGATAAAAAAGTACAAAACACTATCATTTCGCAATGATATCAGTTTTATCTTGGGTTTTTTGAACCACACTCCCGTAACCATGGTTAATTGCATACTGTCGTGCATGCATATACATACATACTACATACATGTATTTGGGTAAACATTCAGAAACGTTTTTTGTATCATTTACAACTGGTACTTGCACTATTATCAGACCTACCATGTCTATACTGCATAGAAAGGCTATCCTAGCAGCTTTTTCTTTGTTTTTCCTCTCTCATGACTATATACATATACTGATATCTATAAATACACACACACACACATATATATGTAGTGCATTTTCTTCTTTATCTGTGGGATTATTATAGTGTAATGCACCACAGTAATCACATAAATTCTTTTATGTGCAGATGTATCGAACGGTGAAGACCACTGATAGGGCAGCAGCTTCTTCGGGTTGATCTCTAAAATCTTTATAGGCTTATTTATGACTATTATTGAAGGGAACTGAAATGATTTTTGTATATTTTATACATATTATAAGTATTATTATTATGATTAATTAATATAGGTTCTTGTTTTTTGTCGTTTAGGACAATCGGATGTATTTGAAAACGGGTCATCTGGGGATACATCTGATGATTTAATTTTGGATATTCAAAATTCAAGAAGGTCTGAGGTTACAGTTCAACAGGGAAGGCAAAATGTGAATCAAGATAAGGATTATCATGGCCTCTGGAGCAACTCTTCAAGGTGAAGCTAAAAATTATTCGTATTATTGTGTTTCTTTTTATCATGGTTTGTGACATTTTTATCATCAGTTCTTCATTATAAATGACTTCATGCTCGATTTGATTGTCTGGTGGTTGAAACATCAAAAGTAGATAAATTTTGGAGCCTCAAAACCACCATACCATGCCTTAAGGCTATATGAGATGAATTTCATCGGAAAAAATAAAGCCTACATCTAGTATAATTTTTTTTTTTGTTGTGGGGTGGGGGGTGTGGTCATCAGGCTACTTTGTGACCACATGTAGTTGGGCCACTTACATCTTTGTTTGTCTGTGTTGAGGATATGAAAGATGAGCTTAATAGCTATGTGGTAATTCTAAGCCCCAAGTGTCTGACCTCAAGTTCCTAGCAACACAAGTTTGAAAACATTACGAATCAAGAAAAAAAAGAAAAGAAAAGAAAATAGAAGTCATGAATTTGAATTTAGGTTTTTTTTTTCTTGGTTATTAGGTTTTTCTTTTTGTTGGACACAGTTTTCTTTTAGTATGTATAGGAACATCCGTCTCTTTCTTCCCAAACACACACTCTCTCTCTCCCCATATGTGCACTGGATCAGATAGAGAAGAGGAAATGAAATCATTGCTTTATTTTTTTTTGCAAACAGCCAGTTTTAACAATGGAATTACATGATGGGGCAATAATCTCACTCCCCAGTGGTTGAAAAGGAAGTAGTAAAGGCAATATATCCTCCTACCACTTCATGACTAAGAATCATATTGACAAAATCAACCTAAAAACAGACATATATTTCTTTCCTTCGGATTTTGTGGGCTCAGATAGCGCTATTTAAATGGGACCCACAACTAAGAAACTTAGTGTGAAAGCTATGCCCTGTGATGGACCCCTATGTAGAAATCTTGGTGCAAAAGATATGCCCTTTGAAACTTCCTAGTAGTAGCTAGCCTGGTTTGGTGATTTGGTAATGGGCTATCACATGGCTGGTTCAACTTTATTGCAATCAGAATAATATGCAAAGTGAGGAACAAAAATCAAGACAGTAAAAGATAGCTTTCTTTTCTTCATTTGCATTGTTCTTCTGGATGGCTTCCATTGATAGGAAATATTCTCAAAATGCATTGTTTTGCAGCAGGGAAGCCTGGTTGCATGGCAAACCAAGGGATTGTGGAGGGAACATAACAACTCTTCAGGTACCCTTCTCACATTTAAATTAATAGACTATACTTAACTTTGAAAGCTTAATAATTGGTATGTATGTAAATGCCTACATTCATGGGGATATATAGATGTAGTCTTCTATCATCATAGTGTTTATGCAAAGTAGGAAAGGGTAGATGACAGACAAAAACTAAAAGCAAAGGAAATAACTCACTCATGAAAAAAATCTTAAATTTATATTGTTCTAGTCAAAGGCTGTCCTACATTTGAATTGCAGTATGATAAAGGAACAAAATGCACAATACTAGGGTTGTGTATCAAGGATACATTCGTCTTTCCGACTATAAATAGGAATTTAGCCTCCAACAAGTTTGGATCATAAACTGATCGCCAAACTCTCCTAGTTAATAAGTCGACATAAACTCAATGAATAACAACATAAGCCCGACATAATATAAGTCAGTATATTTGACTATACATGACTGGGTATGACGCATTCACAGCCTATAATTAACTAGTACCCAACCTTCTAAATCCACAATCAAATGCATTAGGGTGTCACCATAGATGGTGTTATGTTTTATGTCATGGTATATATGCACCACTTGATGCATGTTCATTTTTTTTTTTTTTGGGCATAATATGGTGGATGATGAAATATTGTCTAGGGAATAATAATGAGAGAGAATAATGTACCATGTATATGGTGGACGCGCATGAAACATGCACTGTAACAGCCTAACAGGCTTTTTAATGTACCATATACGTTACACCTTGACAAATATTCCCTTATATCCTGAGTTAAATGTCCTTTGATTCTCACACTCACACACTTCTCTTATGTTACTGACTCTTTGCGTGTGTGTGATTTTCAGAAGGACAGGGACGCAAAGGTCCTAAGCTATGAGAGAATATCAGAGGTGAGCTCATCAAGCCTATCAGAAACAAGCCCCAAGAAGCCCAATCTGGAGTTCACTTTAGGAAGGCCACAGTAATACCACTCTTTACTGGCACTAGTTATTTTGAAAATCATAATATCTCTGATTTGGGAGCTGGTGAAGAGAATCAGGTACCCACTGTGAAAATCAGAGAGAAAAGAAAGGAAAAGAAAAAGAAAAGAAAAGAAAAGAAAAGGTGAGCTAAAGAAAGACAAGGAGACAAGAAAGACAGAAAGCAACAAAAGGAGAGAAGGGTGGAAAAAGCATGCATGTCCTTCACATCAAGCTGTGAGATCCAAATCAACATATTATATTCCTACGTAAATATGAAATCTAATTGATTATGTGTGTTCTATCGTTTAGAGAGAGAGAGACAGAGAGAGGCCTTCAACTTATGTTAAAGTATGAAGTGATTCCTGGTAATTGTAAGATGAAGCACTTTACATTTAACAAAAGAAGTATATTTTTACCAAAGGAGTTTGGAGCCCTTTATTCATTCCTTGGCATTTTCACATGCTTTACACTTTCCCAACAAAGGAAACGAAAGAGAAGATAACATGAACTGGGAAAGGAAATGAAAAATTAAGGGCATAAAGAAAATGGAACAGAGCAAAAAGAAAAAGACAAGTTAAAGGAACATTTTTATGGCCTTTTTCAAACAAATTCTCTGCACAATTGTTCATTTTTCTTTTCCTTTTTTTTTTTGGTATCTGCATTAAGGTTTATGTAGTGAATTTGTGTCAACAACCGTCTATCTGCATCTGTCGGTAAAGTGGGTATATGTTACGATTTTCTAAAACTTGACCACAACAAAAATCTCGTACATTGAACTGCCATTTAAATGTTTATGAAGTAATGAAGCAAACAATTTGAAAAATACATACGCGGGACAGTGATTCCATGGTGCTACCGGGTTGCCATAGTGATGAATGCAACTTATGAACCACTAAGGTTGATCTAGCAGTGCACCGAAGATTAATTCAAGTTTCAAAAGCAGTCTCTTCAAGAATATATTTATTCTAAAAATTTTCATAAACTTTCACAAGGCCCGGAAAGTTTGCAGTAAGGGTGCTTTTCAGGCAATCTTTGCTTCTGGAGGATCTCGAAATGACAAAGTTAAGAACCCCACAGCACCCCATTGATAAGCAAAACTCTAACAGAACATTGATTAGAAAGAATTTAATGAAAATTTTGGAGCATGTTGAAGATAAGAGCATGATGGTTCCCACCAATGTCTTGTTCATTAATCTGATGTTTCTTTGTGTGTGTACAAAACAATAATGTTTTTGGCACAATTGAGGCCAGAGAATGCTAACTGTCCAAAGAAGAAATTTGATGTATCATATCTAGGATTCAATAATGCGCCCGGGCATCCATTGTCACTTTCTTGTTAGAATTTGGCCTCGTTTGCAAGTTGGACTCAATCCGAACCAAAAGCTAAAGCTCAAGCTCAGAATAATGTGTTCTATATATTTTTATTTGCGCAGTTGATGTGGGATGACTTTTGTGACCTAGAGGTCACTGGTTCGAGTCGCGGAAACAACACCTCTATTTGTAGCAATATAATTGCGTATATTTAATCCTCTATAAACCCGCAATGATGGAAACTCGTACATTGTGTATGCCCTTACGTGGGATGGCTTTTGTGGCTCTCTGGTAACCAACACTTCTATAATGTGGAATTGCACTAGAAAGTTTGTCATCAGCCATTTTCAATTGAACAAACTAAAAGGGTTTGCCGACCATACCCAGTCACTATAGTTGGAGAATGCACAAAGCTCAAGTATCCTTGTGATCAGTCACTACAAATTTTCCAGCTACCTTTAATATTAGGAAGTTCACAAGACTAACAACTCCATTGAGCCAGCAATCAGGTTGGGTTTCGGGTTCACGTTACACAACTCGAGTTAGTGAATTCAAGTTCTACCTGCGGTGAATCCAAATTCTAACCCGAGTGATGTAAGTTGATAATAAAATTCAACTTAACTCATGCTTATCTTAACTGAACTTGAATTTCAGTCCAAAATGTGTAACATGAGAATTAAATCCTCCAATTTCAACCCAAGTTGTGTACCTTACGTTCAAAAATAAAAACATGGGCGACATTTTGATTATAGGGTTAGATTAAAACTAAATTGAATTAAACTTGTATCGAATATTTTATAATTAGGTTGAATTCATATTGACCTTATACAGCCAGCCAACCCATCCGAGTTACGCCTCTCAATGGTGTCAAGAGGGGTCAAAAAAAATATTATTTAGATATAATTTATTAATTTAATTTATTGACCAAATTATTTATAACCAATGCATTGATAGTAAATTTCAGTATTTATTGAAATTTACAATCAATCTAATGACTATAATGGATTAAGTCCATAAATTATGTCAACAAATTATATCTAAATAATATTATTGAAAAAAATAAAAAGCGACCTAAGTGCTGCTACTTCCAATATTTGTTTTTGTTTTTTGGGTTAGTATTATGAGCCAGCTCATAAACCAGCTAGAGCCAGCTCATAAACCAGCTAGAGCCAAGTCAAAACTCCTTAAGGATTTCCCTTTCTCTCTCTAGAAATTTTATATCACTCAAATCAAAAAGTGGAGGAGGGTGGAGTAATGATGATAGCCATAATTGCTACAAAAGCTAGCTACCATGCAGTCTTCATGAAACGTGGCATAAGATTTGGTCATCGTCAGCCATCACTAAAAAGGTTGCTGAGTCCACATCCATCCATCATCAAACCACTTCATAAACACATAGGGGATGTTTGGGCCGCCATGGATGGTTTGGGATGGATTAAATTTGAATCCGAATTTAAGCTAAATCAGTGCAAAGTAGTCTGATTTGAATCAATCCTAACGTAAAGTATTATATCTTATCTCATCTTTAGGCTCCATTAATTATCTAAAGATAAAAATACTAAAATGACTATTACACCATTTTTCAAATAAATGTAATCTAATCTTATATTAAGTTTGGACTAGAATGATGTGAAATTAATCTAATAATATTGTCCAACATATATAAGAATACCTTACTCATTATTTTTTTTTATTTTTTTTATTATAAGACCTGATCAATATTTCATTGGTTTAACCGTTGCGTGAATTGATCAAATCGATCATATAATAAAAAAATTATAAATATTTTAAAATATAATATAAATTACATCTATAGTCCTTATGGTTTGTCACTCATTATATTTTTATCCATGAGAGATATTTTTGGTATTGTATAATAATTCATGAAACCAAATATATGGTGTTCCTTACTTTGTGAAGGTTTTGTCTTCTTGAGATTAAGGATTCAAGCCCCTTTCTCCCCTCCCCTCTCCCTCCAAAAAAAAAAGTTATACGGATGTGCACTTAAGGAAAAAAAAAATATAATTCCAGTTAAAAAAACCCAATTATAAGTCCAATTAGAAAAAAAAAAAAACCAAACATAAGGAAAAATAGTTCTTGTCTTTTTTTTTCCTCTATTCATTCTCTCTTTATTCAACCCGTCAGACCCAACAAATCTCTCTCTTTCTAACCAACACACATCCATGATCCATCCCTTTCTCAAACCATTGCACACACAGAGCATAGTTGGTGCAAGACTTGATTAACCCTAACTAACACAGTTGATGCAAGGCTTGATTTTTCGAGACCTTTATGGGCAATAAAATTCGAGTTCTTCCTCTCTCACTCTTTGATGCATAGCTGAAGAAGTTCCAATAAAACTACATGGACGATCAACCACAACTAATGAAAGCTCTAATCAAGGTCCTAATGATGGATTAACTTTAAATTGGGTATTGAGTTCTATCTTCTAAATCTTTATTTTTCTCTCTCCCTCTCTCTAATTCTCGACATGCCCCAAACATCTCTCAACTGATATATATATTTGAGGTATATATATATATATAGACAGAGACAGAGGAAGAGAGAGAGAACATTACCTTGCTAATGGGGAGGATTTGGCGCCATTGGAAGCTAGGGACCAGTGAAAAAGGAGGAAGAGAGGATAAAAACCCTAGAGTGGTGTGCTATATAGGGGTGTAATGGTAATTGCATTGTGTATCCGGTAACAGGTTTTTAATCCCAAAGTTTTGGTCAGATTTGATTATCCACTTGAGAGGGGATAAACAAGCCAAATCACTGAGGGCCAATTTTTTCATGGGCTACAAAAGTCCAGTCTTAAAATGACTTGTCGTACTAAGGATAAATGAGACCCATCGATTATTTATCCAATCCAACATGTTTTATCCACACTTATCCATCAACCCAAACATCCCCATAAATACCGAGGCTAACAACAAGTAATTGAAAATTAGGATTTTATTCCACTTTCAAATAACTTGGGGGCAAACCCTTTTTCTTTTCTTTTTTGTAAATGTTCAACTTAACGTGCACCCTAATTTTTTTAGCAATGTTATAAAATTTTAATTTGATAATATAAAACACCATTATTATGGAATTAGTACTTAATTTTTTAGTGTTGAATAGAATATACAACCAATTAAATTACATAAATGTATTATATCATCAAATTAAATCTTCAAAATAGTAAAATTAGTAGTTTTCTCTAAATTTCAGCTCTCTAGCTCTTTGTTTGGTATAAGGAAAAATTAGATAGATGAATAAAAAATAGAGGGAAAAGATAGATTTTTTTTTTATTTGGTTGGGAAGTGAAATGGAGAGAAATGAAAAATGGGACGTAAAGAGGATCCCTTTTGCCAACCATTTTATTAATTGGGCCAAATTTGGATAGAAAATGGGAAAAAAAATTAGTCAATAGATGGATTTATCACAATTCCCTTGAAGTGACGGTTTGTAATTTGAACAGAAAGTGGCGGTTGCTTCTCAAATTAAAAAAAAAAGTACAAGTGGGGTCCGCACTTTTTATTTTCTCAAGACAAATCAGAATAGTGGTGGGACCTTAGGCTATTTTTAACTCTATATTTTATACAATTACAAGGGTATTCATGTAATTTAATAAATTTAATAAATCCAATTACCCTTTATCATCGAAGTCCCTAAACTATTCCTTATTTCCAAAAAATAATTTTGAC